TAAGCCATGGCAGCTAACAAGTAACATTCACTGTAGGCCAGTCCAGCAGAGAAGAAGAACTGAGCCAGGCATCCTGCAAAGCAGATGCTTTTGTCTGCAGAGATGCAGGTCACTAGGATCTTCGGGGTATAGACAGAGGAATACCAGAGATTGAGGAATGACAGATTTCCAATGAAAAAATACATAGGTGTGTGCAGTCGGGCATCATTACATATTATCATTATAAGCATGGTATTTCCCACCACAGTCACAGAGTGCATGCCAAGGAACACCATGAATAAGATCATCTGCATCTCAGGGTCTGTTGTGAAGCCCAAGAGGATGAATTCAGTCACAGTGTGATTACCCCTGTCCATGGCTAACGGATTCATCATCTACAATTTGAGTGGAGAAGAGTTTATTTCCCTCAACTCATATCCAATGAATGCTTCCTACCCTGTTTCCCCGAAACTATGACAGTGACTTATATTAATTTTTGCTCCCAAAGACGCGCTAGGTCTTATTTTCAGGGGATGTCTTATTTTATCATGAAGAAGGATATGGTACACATTTATTGTTTTATTAAGAGAGCTCACACTTCCTGTTTGCTGTGGCTGCACTGCGGCCAACAGTGAGCTACGCGGCGGTACCCCCCTCTACGTCCAGAGTCCAGAGTTATGGTAGCTTCGGGGCCCTTATTTTCAGGGAGGTCTTATTTTCAAGGGGATGCTTTATATTTCAGTGAGAGGTAAAACTGTAAGTAGGTCTTATTTTCAGGGGGTGTCTTACTTTCTGGGACACAGGGAATGTGCCAGGTACATGCGATATGGTCAAGCTTAAAGGTATTAGAAACAGCAGAGCTGAGCAGGAATCTTGACTTAAATGATGTGAGTTCTCTTGAGTCTCAATATATTCATTTCACTAAAATGCATTGATAGTGGTAGTGTTAGAGACAGAAAACAATAAGGTATAGTTATGTTTTAGACAATATTAAGTGTTATTAAAAAGAAAAGTGCACACGGGGTAATATCCACTCAGGATAGGAGCTAATTGGATTTCAACACAGAGGCGAATCCTTCCTTTCTTCATTTCCTGGTTAGGAATAGGCAAATTGTTCAGATCCCATGGGAACAAGAAGTCCCCTATGTTTTACAAAATGATGACATTCTCTTCTTCTGCAAATAAAGGGGGAGTTTTTCCTTCTGCTCCTCTAGAGGAATATTGGGTACAATGATCATAAATCAAAGGAGTAAGAAACAGATTGAGAACTGGTGACATTTCAGAGTAAAGTTAAATCCATTAGAATACATCGAGCACATCGAGCACAGAAGCGATAGCCTTTTGAGCTTTTCAGGATCTATAAAGCTGGAACTTAGCCTTCCTTGATAGCAGTGGTTTTCAGCCTTTCTTATCCTGTGGCCCTTTAATACAGTTCATCATGTTGTGTTGAGCCCCTCAACCATAAAATTAATTGATCTTCTTTGAACATTGGTTATATGATTTTGTCAAAAAATATTGAGAGTATCATCGATTGCCAGAAGAACAAACACCTCATTCATAACAGTAGCAAAATTACAATTATGAAGTAGCAACAACATAGTACTTAGCCAGTTGACCTCCCTAAAGGCAGGATCTAAAATAGTTCTGGGGGCAAGTATGTCTTAGTTTTTCCATGACAGAAATGTCTTCCCTGGTGTTTTGAATGCCAATGGGC